CCTGTCATTTTAAAACTTAATGTAGTCGGATAATAATTCTGACCAGCTGGGGATCTCACAAGTTGGCTCTCTTGCCTTGTAGCCTTTTCCAGTTGCGCCTCTTCTCCTTGGTGGTTTTCTTAAGCAACAGACTCTTCCACAAGACGGTCTACCTGCAGTCCGCCCTGAGTAGCTCAGCCTCTGCAGAGAAGTTCCCTTCGCCGCATTCGTCTCCTGCCAAACTGAAGGCTGCTGCAGGCCACTGAGTCACCTGCCACCCAGGGGGAAGGAGTGGGATTGGAAGGAGGCTGTGCAGTTCTTTCCTGGTTCACCACCCCCACCAGGGAAGGCAGGGCCCACTCTGCCAAGGGCCTTCTGCGTATTCCCTCCTGAGGAACTGGGATTTTTGTCTCAAAATCTCCTGACACCAGTATGTGGACTTTTAACACCTGTGAGTCTGAAAGGCCCACAGGTTTTTCTGCAGCTCTTTTCTAGCATTTGCCAGCCTCCCCTCGCCTGGACTGATTCGAATACTTTTTCTCCCCGTGCCATTCACCCTTCCACTTCCCCTTCCTGCCTTCCATCACCCTTGGATGAATGGATTTTGTAATTCTAGCTTTTGTATTTTGTGGACCTGTTATTTTTGTTGTTTTTCTGTGAAGCACATACATTGGATGTGGGAGGTAAAGGAGTGTCCGTTACTCCTGGTCACTCCCTTTATAGCCATCACTGTCTTGTTTCTTGTAACTCAGGTTAGATTTTGGTCTCTCTTGCTCCACTGCAAAAAATAAGCCTGAAGAGATGGGACAGGAGGAAAGACCTCACAGCCAGATCTGCTGGGTTTTGAGGAGTGATTTTTCCTTCCCCTTGAAGGGGAAAAGCTCTTTTCACTGGTACATTTAAAGTTCCCCAGCCACAGGGAGGTACCAGTTTTGGACAAGTGCCACTGCAACACAGAATGCTCAGAGAACCTGAACTCTTAAACTCTGCAGGTCTGAAATTTACTGTCGGCCATTGTCGGGTCTGTCTGATGTTTCAAAGGGGATATTGGGTGCTGCAAATCGAAACTGAAGGGGTAAACTTATTAAAACCATTAAACCTGTGATTGGTGTTTTTCTGTTATTTTAAAGAGACAAGTACTGGAGGAGGGGGCAGATGTCAAAACACTTGTACAATTTTAAAATGTCACAATTAAATGTGATTCGTTTACCACAAGGTGTGGAATGGTTGAATTTATAAATCACATCAAGAAACATATTCATGGCCCTGACCGGTTTGGCTCAGTGGACAGAGCGTCAGCCTGTGGACTCAAGGGTCCCAGGTTGGATTCCAGTCAAGGGCATGTACCTTGGTTGCGGGCACATCCCCAGTGGGGGGTGTGCAGGAGGCAGCTGATGTTTCTCATTGATGTTTCTAACTCTCTATCCCTCTCCCTTCCTCTCTGTAAAAAATTAATAAAATATATTTAAAATCTATTAAAAAAAAAAAGAAAAGAAACATATTCATGGAACCCAAGACTTAGTCTTGGGTAAATTGCTTATATTTTTTTGAGAGATTAGTCCTGAAAAATGTAACCTGAGGAAGTTTGGATTATGTCATGATGATCATGTTAACATCTTGGAAAGAATTTAGGATTGCTGAATTATTTGTTTTAAAGTCTGTGTGTACATCTCCTGTGTATTCATGGATAAAGAGATCCTTATAGATTTCAGTGTATTGAACATTCTCATTAGAGAAGAGATTAGAGATTTGGCTAACTGTACCATGTACAAGCCAAAATTAAGAGTTTAAGAATCACTTCTGGGGATGAAAACCAAGTTTAAAGTGCAGAAAGTTTTAAAATAGCGGGCATCTTGGGGGTGAGCATTGTTTTCCAGCTTGTGCAAAAAAATTATAAAAGACATAATTTAAAATAAGAGTTGCTTCCTCCTTTAGACACCTGGTCATTTGTCACTAGGACTGCAGAGAACTGCCAGGTTGCTGTGGGGTGCTTGGAAGACCTCAGTATTTCATCAGCTTGCAACTGATCACTGATTGCCTTAAGATTAGTTTAAGTTTTGACAAGTCGCTGTTATTTAAGTGGCCACATCTCTGCTGCCAGAAATTTGTATGTGTATTAACTAAATTAGTGTTAGTTTAGAACGGTGAGGGAGTTTGAGTGGATGAAGGCACTCGATTTTATCCAGCACTATGTCTTGCGATAGAAAATGCTTACAAGTTTAAGTGATTGGAAACGAGGAATCTGCAGTTTTATGGGTGTAATTGAGAAGTCAGGCCTGTGGCATCGTATCTACAACAGAAATTCTGGTAATCACTAAAAATGAAAATCAGCATGTTTTAATCATGTAACCAGTAGGATCTAAGGCAGGGGTCCTCAAACTTTTTAAACGGGGGGCCAGTTCACTGTCCCTCAGACCCTTGGAGGGCCGGACTATAGTTAAAAAAAAACTATGAACAAATTCCTATGCACACTGCACCTATCTTATTTTGAAGTAAAAAAACAAAACGGGAACAAATACAATATTTGTATTTGCATGTGACCCGCGGGCCGTAGTTTGAGGACCCCTGATCTAAGGAATCATGTTCACAAAAGCTCTTCTCGGGTACAGACATCACAGCCTGGACAGGTCTATGGGGTTCAAAACACTACCCTTTTATCCTGCCTAGAGCTGAGTTGTCCATTGTAGCAACTCTGGAGGAATTAGAAACTGGATGCTTCAGACCTGGGGAGGGTAGGTGAGTCTGCTGGAAACCTAACATTTTTATGAGCTGACTTGTTAATTGCTCTTACATTGTTATGGGCCTCGATAAAGTTTAAGAGGAATTGGGACAAAGAAGAGAGCGACTAAAGGTTAGAGGTTTGTGAACCATCTTAAAGGGATAACATCAGGGAGCAAAAGGGCAACTATAGTTGCCTGTTCACTGTCTTTGCATTTTTCGTCCACTTTTACTTATTTTCTGATTATAGAAGTAGGACATTTATTCAGCTTCTATACTCATGTGTCTACCTGTACTGAGATGGCCCTGGTAAAGGTTATCAGTTCATCGGTAGTACAATGGAAGAGACCTTTAGTCTAGCAGTCATCTTGAGCCCCCCTTCCCCACCCAAACCCCCCATTTAAAAGTCTATGCTACAAGACTCACAGAAATAGAAAGGAAGCTGACTTTAGGTCAGTATAACAGGTGTTTTTTTTTTTTTAACAATGAGAGTGATAGTTCTTATCAGAAATATTTGTAAGGACATTAATATGAATCATAGATCCAGTAAACGGTCGAGGAAGCAGACTAACTGACTTAACCATATGCCATGCTTTACAGCACCTTCTCTGTCAGGCACTGGATTCAAGGATGAACCAGAAATATAGGATAACTGCCCAGTTGGACCTAACTATAGTGAAGGAGACAAAAGTGATCAAGCACATTTTTAAAAGTATATTTTTATTGATTTTTTTAGGAAGAGAGAGAGAAACATTGGCTGCCTCCTGTACACCCCCTCCTGGGGATGGAGCCTGCAACCCAGGCATGTTCCCCGATCAGGAATTGAACCAGTGACTTCTTGGTGCATGGGATGACACTGGGCCATACCAGCCAGGCGATCAAGCAGCATTTTAAAAAGCATGTTCAAATAGGTAGCTACTATTTCCACAGGTCTCAGCTTGAATAAGACATTGGGATTTAGAATCTTTGAGCAGGATGAGAGATTAGGCTGTCTGTTCAGCCTCATTCTTATTTTACCCATTCTCTGGTTTCAAATTTACATGTTTTGTAGTGCTTGCAGACCGACGGGGAAAGTAGTGACCCATCTGACCATTTCGATGAGTAATTCTTAACCAGAGATCACCCTCGAAATCGTCTCAGGAGCTTTCACCAAATACACAGAACACCACCTGTCCCTGGGAGAAATGTGATTCTAGAAATAAAGGCACTTGAAAAATTAGAATAACTACCTTCACATTAATGTTGTAAGCTATATTGCATCAATGAACTAGGAACAGATTGGTGTGAAAAAGGGACAACACAGGAAAGTTCTTGCAAGTGACAGCAGTTATGGGCATAAAATGAGATGGCTGATAAAAGTGACACCGAGGGGGCTAAATGAGAGAATTGCAAGATGGAACCGTGGAAATCTCCGAGAATGTAGAGCAAAGGGATGAAGATATGGAAAAGGGTAAGAATCACACAGGTATCCAAGAATCAGGAATCCATTTGTCTCACAGCAACTTCAGAAAATAAGCAAACATGAAGAATAAAATAAAAAACTTCCGGGACTGATGGTGAAAATCGGAGTTTGCAGATGGAAAGGGACAAGTGTACAGCAGGAAAAATGAAGGGGGGGAAAAAACCTCCATAAATGGGGTCTCCAAGGAAAAATAATTTACCAGAGAAAAACAGGTTACCTACAAAGGAACGTGACTCACTGGCAGCAGACTTCGCCAGAACAGCTCCAGGTAAAATTTTAATGCCTTAAAAACGCCTGTGCTCCTGTGTGCGGGGGGGATTAGGATGGTCCCAGTTCTGTTCCTATAATTCTAAACCTCGCTATGCTAATGCCTAAAGACAAAATAAAAGCACGGTTTGCTTTCCATTCAGCTTTTCTGAAAAAGTTACTTGAAAAAAAAAAATCTATGAAAGTGGAAAACAAATACAAGAAATAGATACCTGTGTGTTTAGGTTGTTCCTTCGCGTCGTTTCCGCTTCTGGTCACGTGGCTGAGGTCAACGGGCCGCGCCGTCCCTACCCCACGACTGCCTCGCGGGTCCGCAGACCGACACGTCACTCCTCGGCCCTCAACCTAACTGCCTCGAGCACGTTCCCTCGGCGCTCTCGCTCTCAGCAGCAGGCCAATCACAGCTCGGCGGGAGCACTAAGTCCCGCCCCCCGGATGCTAAGTGACTTTTGCTTTGCCCATTTAAGAAGTGCGAGCGCGGCCTCGTTCCCGCCTCTGGGTCTGACAGACAGTTCCGCAACCCTATCATTCTTCCGAAGTGGCGGGTCGACCCGGAGCCAGCCAATGGGGAGCCGTCCCGGAGGCGGACCTGGCCTCTGCCAGGGTTGAGTGCGCCGCTGAGCGGATGGCCGTGGGAGCTGAGCGGATTCCCGAGCAACGCCGGCCAGGTGAGAAGGCCGCGGGATAGAACTGGAGGATAGCGGCAGGTGCGGCGCAGGGCGTCGGTGGGATTGAGGAAGTGCCGAAGGTGGGGCTCCAAGGGCGGAGGTGGGGATCGGAGGCAGACCGGCGAGCGTGGAGGAGGGGGCGTGGGGCGTGGTGGTGCTGGTGGTGCTGGTGCTGGTGCTGGTGCTGCTGGTGATGGTGGGGTGCCCCGTGGGGTGCCCCGGGAATGGAAAGATGTGCAGGTCTGGGGAGCGGGTGCACTCCGGCAGGGGGTGCGTGGAGTTGCTGGGATCCTGGGATTGGTCCTGGGGGGGAAGGCGCTCAGGCTGCTGAGCTGGCGGTTGTCTCGCAGTGGGGCTGTCAGAGGTTTCGATCCCGTGAGGGTGGGAGACGGGTGCAGGGGGTGAGTGGACCGGGGAGGAGGGGAGTGAAGGCGTGCGTGGGGGGCGGGGGAAGGGTGCAAGCGAACGGGGGCGCGGGGGAGGGTGCTGTCCCCGGAACTGGAACCGGGGTGGGACGAGGGTGCCCGGCTTGCAGGCACGTTGGGGAGAACGGGTGCGGAGCGTTTAGGAGAAGCGCCTTGGCTCTTTCTTGCTCGAGGCTGTTGGGAAACGATCGGAGGCTGCACAGCGAGAGCTCCCTCGAGGTCCTGCCTTGGGTTACCAGCCCCTGTGCTCAGCTTTCAGGCAGAGGATCTGCTGCCCTCCTTTCCGCTCTCAAACTCTTCCAGGTGGGGGGTCATGTCAACTCGGTAGCAGTTAAGTCTTTTGTTTCAGGCGTTCCAGAAAGCAAATAGGAACCGGAGGGATGTGGCTGGAATATTGACTTCCTGGAGTTAGGTGTTTCTTCTTGATTGCAAGATAAGGCTTTCCCCTGCGATTTTCATTAAGCCCGTGTAAAACGGCACCTCTGACGGTTAATTATGGAAAAGATGCTTGATTTTTCACTGTTGAGCTAGGAACATACGATTCTTCATGCCTTCCACGCAGTCCAGTGTAACACCCCCCCCCTTCCCCCCCCGCCTCCACTTTCCTCTAGTAATAATTGAGGGGGTGGGGGGGGGACAAGAGAGGCACAGGTTCCTTTTGACCCCCCTGCAGCCTTGGACTGTGTTGCATATCCTTTATTGTTGTGTTCTTGATCACCGAGCCCTGGACCAGCTTGTGGTTTAAGAATACCTGCGATCAGCCGTGCTCTTTTAGTTGACCCTGCAGTCACTGGTCCTTGGAACAGAGGGAAGCTCTAGCTAGCCAGCCAGTTGAAACCGAAATTTGGACCTGCAAATTGAGCTGACTCAGTCAGGCTTCTATTTCTCCGCTTTCTACGTTCACTTCTGTACTCACTATTCATCCCTTGCTTGCTTTCAGACATTCCTGCCTCTTCTTGAATGCTCTTTCTCCTTGTAATTAGTTTTTTTCTGTTTCCAATTTTTTTCAATTTTTTTTACATCTCTTCCTCCAACCCCCATTTTTCTATTTCTGTGTTTTCTCTGTACACTTGTTGTACCACACTGTTGCCAGTTTTGTGTATGCACTTGTTAGCTGTGAGGAAGTGGGAAACGGAATTATGGTGATAGGTCTAATCATTCCTTTTCAGTCTTAACACAGACACCTGACTTGTGCCAACTTCCTTGCCAGTGGACCGTAATTCGGGCAAGACTCGGGTATCAGTATTAGCCCTGACCCTCCCTGGTGTGTTCTGTAGCTCCTGATTCCTTTATGTTTCTCTGCCGCCATAAAATAGGATGAAACAGTGAATTGGGTAAATGGAAGGTGTTCACTATCCTATGGTCTTGATTTTTCCATTTCAGCTACTTGAGTGTCATCTGTTGCCACCCATCGATGTCAAGATGACTAAGCTGGGATTTTTGCGGTTGTCCTATGAGAAGCAGGACACGCTGCTGAAGCTTCTCATTCTGTCCATGGCTGCTGTGTTGTGTGAGTGTGCATGGGCACTCTTTCTTTGGGGGATGGAAAGGAGAAAATCTTGAAAAAAAAATCAAGAATGGCTTTCTTATTCTTTTCAGCAGAATGTGTTCCTTTTTACTGTCCTCCATCAGTATAATTTTATGAAGGCAAAAGAACAAGGGTTATAAAAGGACTAGTGATCCTCTGGGAAAGAATGGGGAGCATGCTGTGCTCGTTCTATTTTCCCATAGGGCTGAAAGAGATGCTGAGGACCCTTGGGTACTGAATTTTCAAAAAGACAGTTTGGTTGCCTACCTTAGTATTTGTCTTTAGATATTTTAGCTTTTTATGAGTTGTAAGTATAGTCTTGATTGCCTTACCTCTTAGTTTGCTCCAAAGTTAAGGTTAGTTGTGGGGAACTCAACATATATAGAAGACGACCATGTAAGTTGAGTGCAGCGTTAATAGGTGGATGCGTTATTAGAGGCATTGATGGGAACTAGTTAAATGTGTCCTGCCTGAGTGGAAAATGTAGGTGTGATTGTCAGGAGGAAGTGAACTTCTCTTTATTTTATGTGGGAGGGATGGATAAATATTCAGGGGTCATTTTATATTTCTGTGACTTCTGTGCTGGATAAGACTATTATCTTTAAAATTCTATTGTCTGCTATTATTCATGGCACATTACCATTGAAATAGTAATTCTCTGGTATTTGCAGCATTCTCCACTCGTCTCTTTGCCGTCCTGAGATTTGAAAGTGTCATCCACGAGTTTGATCCGTGAGTACATTTGCTTGGTCCGGTATTTTCTTTGAGAAGCATTCAGGTTCATGGGTTTCAAATTCACATTCCAGTCAGTTCTTAGTGATGGGGATGTGTTTTCTACACATTTAGGGGGGAAACTGCTTAAGTTTTCCAAAGGATATAATTGTCTTCTTTTGAAACATTTCTGTTAGAATTAATCAAGTGAGTCTCTTAAACTTATAAAAAATGTAAGACATTACTGGTATGCCTGCCTATCACTTTAAGGTCGGCTTCTCAGCTGGGTCAATAGTTAGGAATGTAGATTGAGGGAAAGGGGCCTGGTGTATGCTTTTAGGCTGAAAAGAAAATCACAAGCTATTAACTTGAGATCCATGACATTTTTTTTCCTGCTTAACAATTTATATGGTAGAAATTGGGCCTATCAGTTAAGTACTAAGACTTTGAGAAAAATTTAAACGGATTAATTTGATTAGGGATTTTGTTTTAGATAAAAAAGATACAGGTGAAATACATTTATTGAGCATTCATTTTGTTCCAAGCACTGTTTCATGGATTATCTCTAAAACCTAACTACAGCCCTATGAGATGGAGGTAGTACTTTATCTCCTTTTCACAAATAAGACAGGAAGCTGGGAGAGAGAATTCAGGTTTACAAGTGTAATAAGTAGAAGAACCAAGCTTTGACTCTAGGTTTGTCTGTCTCTAGACACTGGAGTCATTATGTTATATTGCCTAAGGCTTAATTAAAATTTGGAGAGCTAGAATCATAGGTTCTTGAAATATTGGTATCTTAAACATAGCCTATTCAGCTTATGGAGCATTGATTCAAAATGCTCCTGCATATATTTGTAAATTTGTTGATTTGTAAATTTGCAAGCATTGAGGTGAGATGTCAGAGAAAGCAAGAATATCTGCTCTGTAGTCACAGAGCTGGAAGAGACTGTAAAGATCTTGTGATTTGACATTTCCTCTTGCAGAGCAGAAAATTGAGGTCAGGGGTGTGACTCTAGTCCAGACCTATTCACACTAACTTTTACTTTTTCCACCTCACTCTGCTAGGCACAGGACACATTTCTGACACATGTTGACTGCCTGTTACCCTGAGCCCTTCTGTCTCTTTGACAGTTACCAAAATGACATTCATTAGCAAGAAACAGGATAGAGATTTCTGCTACTTCTGCTTTAGCTGTGAAAACTTGACTGACCAAAGAGGAAATAAGATTAGAGGGGTGAGCAGGAATGATGATTAGTCATGATTATCTTTAGTAATTAAACAATTCCGTTTATTTATTTATTTATTTATATTTTTTGCCTTTTAAAAAATTTCTTTTTAAGTGAGAAACTTAGAAACTTAAGAGAAGGGGTCACATAGCTTGGACCCAAAGAACTGTGTCTTTCCATGGATAACACTAAGCGTTTCATATCAAACATTTACATTTTACACTCCTATGTAGGTGGCATTTAGAACTGTTTTAAATAACATGAGAATTAAGAAGTTTGTATTATGGAGCGGGGAGCGGGTTAAAAAATGTTCATTCTGCAGATGGTGTTAAACCACCATCTTTAGAGATGCCCATCACTTGAACTTATCCATGTGTCCTTGTGCGTAGTATGGAAATGTTCTCTTTCATGTTCCTGTCACTGCCAAATGTATTAGTGCCCACAGCTCAGCTGTTTTGCCTTTTGGGTGCTTGACCTCTCTGACTTGTGGCGGTTCCTACGACACGCCAGCCTGATGGAGTGCCCTGCTAGAGAGCGTTAGTAGCATGTTAGGCTTTAGCTGCACTTCCTTACGAAGCAGTGCTTTAATTGAGCCAAGCATGGAACTACAAATGAGACTTATAGGAGCATAAAATGATTTTCATGCTTGGCATAATTTTTGGTAGCAAACTGACTTTTATTGGAGTAATGATAAGTTTCTCAGTGGTATAACCTGAGGAGCAAAATTTACTGCAAATTGGTACAAGTATTTGAGTATGAAAAGACATGGATCCTTTTTCCCTTGCTGTAGGTACTTTAATTATCGGACTACCCGGTTCCTTGCTGAGGAGGGGTTTTATAAATTCCATAACTGGTTTGATGACCGGGCCTGGTACCCATTGGGCCGAATCATTGGTGGAACGATTTACCCAGGTAAGTGAAACAGGATTCTTTTTAAAAAACAGAAATAAGTATTTGTATATTATGGAACAATTTATTTTTAATATCTTTATTTTATGACACTTGTAATTTCATTCTGATTGCAGATTCCTAAAAGTGGATCTTATATAGACAGGAGAACGTGTATGGGAGAGTGGGCATGGGTAGTTCTTCATAAATTCTGGACTTCTGACTGAATCCTTAAGAGAGAAATATAAGCCTATTGTAGTCGCTGTCGTAGTATTTCTGGTGGTTTATTAAGACCTGTGTTGTCACTTCATTGATACTTACATTTTCCCTTAAGGGCTTTATCCTAGGACTAGAGGCCTGATGCACAAAATTTGTGCAAGAGGCTTGGCCCTAGCAGCCATGGCAGCTTGCCTCGGCCATCACAGCCGGCTTCGCCCGGAAGGTCGTTGGGCTGTCCGGTCTCATTAGCATATTATGCTTTTATTATAGAGAACTTAATGGGGTTTCTTCTTCCTGTTACAGGCTTAATGATCACCTCTGCTGCAATCTACCATGTACTCCATTTTTTCCACATCACCATCGACATTCGGAATGTCTGTGTGTTCCTGGCCCCTCTCTTCTCTTCCTTCACCACCATCGTCACGTACCACCTTACCAAAGAGCTCAAGGTGAAGGATTTGTGGTGACAGGAGGCTTGGGAATGAATGTTGCTGAACCTCTGTAGTCAATGGCAGTGGGTGGGGGCTGAACCTTAGCAGGGAGCCAGAGGCTAAAGACAGCTTTTGCTGTGCTGCATTATTGGTTCACTCCAGCTCCTCCCTAGAATATGTGGTTTCTTATCATTAACAACTGTTTGTCCTTAGAAGAGAACATTTGAAGGTCAAATGTAAATTGTTCCATGAGGAGGAAAAACATTCAAAATGTGAAATGTGAGGTGTGAAGTCCTCACACTCCAAAGGAGAGGAAAAACAGCTATAGGACATCTTCTAGTTCTTCCTACTAAAAATGAACACTTTAGCAGTTATTTGTTGATTTTTGAAAAAGATTTAAAATTCTTAAACCACTTGGCTTCTGTAGGAGACTCCATAATACACCTCTCTTTCTAGGTTTCTGCATTGCTGACCCTGGCTCTTTTAGGCTATTCTTAGTTCGTGGTTATGGTGTCGGGGAGATACTTGAGAAGCGTTAAACTAGGAGGGTTTGGGAAACTTGAGTTTAGTTTGGAAGCCATTTCATGCTTTCCTTGCTGCACTTGTTTCAAATTTGACTCTTATTAACAGACAAGACCTTCCTCACTTTGGGTGTCAGTTACGTTTTGTTGTTCCCCTCTCTCGAGCTCACAGATTGCCTGGTGATATTGCAGCTTGATTATCTAAGCTCCTAGACTCTTTAGTTCAGATAGATTATCACCTAGCTCTGTTGGCTTTTTAGCTCAAATAATAATTGTCTTCCTTTGCTTGTACTTGCATAGCTTTTAGAGGTGTGACTGGTGTTCCTGCAGTGTCACAGATACTCTTAGGGGTAGGGATTCATAAGCCTGGAGATTCACCAGCCAAACAGCCCACTCGGCCAGTGTCTGATGTCTGACAGCTTACATGATTTGTCTGTCCTTAGCATATGTGTTCTGTTTCAGACTTGGTATCATCATGGGGAGTTGGTGTGAAGTTTTAGCTGTCTTGTGCTGTGAACATTTCTAGCATCACATTTACCTGTGAAAGTGCTGGACTGTTCTCTGAGCTTATGTTAAACAGAATGGTCTAGTGCAGTGGTCGGCAAACTGCGGCTCGAGAGCCACATGCGGCTCTTTGGCCCCTTGAGTGTGGCTCTTCCTAAGCCTTAGGAGTACCCTAATTAAGTTAATAACAATGTACCTACCTATATAGTTTAAGTTTAAAAAATTTGGCTCTCAAAAGAAATTTCAATCGTTGTACTGTTGATACTTGGCTCTGTTGACTAATAAGTTTGCTGACCACTGGACTAGTGGATCCTCTCTTCTCCTCTCTCAGAGATGTATTGGTGTTAACTTCCTGTTGCCCTTCTTTCCTCACAGGATGCGGGGGCTGGACTTCTTGCTGCTGCCATGATTGCTGTAGTTCCTGGGTATATCTCCCGATCTGTAGCTGGCTCCTATGACAATGAAGGTAAGACTGAAAATGCCAAGGAACGTCTGTCCACTTCATTTCCCCCTGCAACTTCATGATGTGCAGTAGAACCTGGATTCATATCTATTATTTAGCAATAGCAAAAATGGTATCTGGGCAAGATTAGAAATAGGCAGGAAAGGATCTCAGAAAAGTTTATATTCTCTTCCTGTCCTCTCTTGTAGAAAGGTAGCTGGCGATTTTTCTTCTGTAAGGCATTTGACTCATCTCTGGACTTATAAAAGTAGAGTCAATTTTTAGTGTTGAATGGCACACTTGTTTTAACATTATTTACTTGTTTAATTTTTCTAGATGAGTGGCATGGACGTTCTTAAAACTATAATGACTTTTACTACATATTTTCAATTCAACCTGTGTTTATTGAGTGTTATTGGGAAAGCAGTGTTAGGTATTATAAAGATAGTAATGAATAAGATTATAGAGATAGATAATGAATAAAATTGTGTTGGCCTGTATTTTATGAAGGAAGGTAAATATGGACCTATAAAAATAACTAGTAACAAGCAGATAGTATTGTGTGCCAAGAGAGTACTATGAACAGAGTACTTTGGGAATGTAGTTAACGGAGATATTAATTCAGATTTGGGAGCCAGGGAAGGCTATTCGGAAGTAGTTTAGGTGAACTGGACCCTGAGGCACTTCCAACAGGCATATTAAAGAGGGGCAGTCAGGGAAGAGGGATCTGCTGTGGTAAGATGGAAATGCAGGATGCGTGGGATATATTTAGGACTAGCAGGGAATTTAGTACCTGGAAAGAATAGTAATGATAATGGTCAACACTCACTGAGTGCTTGCTGTGTGCGAGGTACTGTTCTAAGTGCTTAGCATGCAATTAGTGAGTTTGTCTTCACAACACTTATGAAGTAGATACTATTATGGACTGATTAGTATAAGGAAAGGCACAATAATTATGCTATAAATGGGTAGTAGATCTGAGATATGAATCAGGCAGTTTGTTCCAGAGTGGTATTCTTAAAAATTATGCCAGTATGGCCCTTTATTGACTTTTTGTTGCATTCTTTCTGCAGGAATTGCCATCTTTTGCATGCTACTCACTTACTACATGTGGATCAAAGCAGTAAAGACTGGTTCCATCTATTGGGCAGCCAAGTGTGCCCTTGCTTATTTCTACATGGTAACTTTTCACTTCTTTCTTCTAGAAGTTTCTCTATGTCCGAATACCTACTGGGATCAACTGTTATAAATTGGAAGTAGCTCTTGGGCTTTGAGACTATGGAATGGAAGCTAGAAGTCTTTACTGTCTCTTGTATCCATACAAAGACTAACCCAAGGCAGGCATGGATGTCGATTATATAATAGCAAGATAGAGATGTTTTAATTTTTAAAGTTTTCCAGATACCGTATTTTCTTTGGGTGCATATTGGTTGGCCAACTCTCTTTTTCTTTTTTTTTTTAAAATATATTTTATTGATTTTTTACAGAGAGGAAGGGAGAGAGATAGAGAGAGTTAGAAACATCGATGAGAGAGAAACATCGATCAGCTGCCTCCTGCACATCTCCCACTGGGGATGTGCCCGCAACCCAGGTACATGCCCTTTACCGGTATCGAACCTGGGACCTTTCAGTCCGCAGGCCGACGCTCTATCCACTGAGCCAAACCGGTTTCGGCAACTCTCTTTTCTGATATGTTCCCCTTAAGTTTTTTATATATTTATATTTGTTTGATTTTACATATATTCTTAGACTTCTTCCTATAACTGCTTCCACTTGCTCATGTTTCCCATGTATCCCTAAGTTCTCCATGTGAACTTAAAATAGCTTGCATCTAGAGTAGCCCTGAAGGTTGGGTGCCTCTTGTTTTGTGATTTTGATGTCAGGAGCCATAGGGAATAGGGGATTGAGTTATAGCAATGGGTGTGAATTTGATTTTCCTATTTAAAGAAATCAGTTATTTAAACTCTCTAAGCCACTTGGCATAAATAAAGTTTATTAGTTATTATAAAGATTATGTTCTTTAAAAAGGTCACAGCTAATATCCCAAGGTGTGCTGGTGGTGGGAGGAGGAGGAGTGCTCAGAGGAGCTGTTCTCTTTCATCCTGTCACAGGTCTCTTCATGGGGAGGCTATGTGTTCTTGATCAACTTGATCCCGCTCCATGTGCTGGTGCTGATGCTCACGGGACGCTTCTCCCACCGGATCTATGTGGCCTATTGCACTGTCTACTGCCTGGGCACCATTCTTTCCATGCAGATCTCCTTTGTGGGCTTCCAGGTGAGCTCTAGGCTGAGTGGGACTTTTAGCTTCTACTTGTTCTAACCAGCTCCACCTAGATTGATTTATCTTGGATTTTGGTGAGGAGAGTAAGACTTCACAGGTCTCACCTTGGCTTGCTGGTGTTAACTGAAGTAACAGAATCATTAGTCATTAAACTCTCCTTCCAGGAGTTCATTAATGTTTGCTCCATGAAGTTTGACTGTTAATTTGGCTTAGGTTTGTAGGAAGAGGAGAAGTATTTTGGCTGAGCTGCCTTGATATAAGTGATCAAAATGATTCCTAATCCTTTTTAATGATAATGATCCCTAAACTCCTTAAAGGGGCCTAAGCGAAAATATTTCAGGAAGCAGAGCACAAACCTTTTAGCCACATTACCCTCCAGAGTTAAGAGACAACTATTAAATCTAAACAATATGGTGTGTTTGGTTTCTCATGTCAGTCCCATGAAAGTGGAATCCTTATTCAGAGGTCAGCAAGTATTTCTTTACTGATCACCTATATGCAGTTTGCTAATCACTGGGAAAAGTGAAAAGTAACAAATTGGTCCTGGTCTTTAAGGAAGTTACAATCTTGCTGGGGGGAAAGAAGTACATGCATCTGTCTATAGCAGTGATGGCGAACCTTTTGAGCTCGGCCTGTCAGCATTTTGAAAAACCCTTAACTCTGGTGCCGTGTCACATATAGAAATTTTTTGACCTTTGCAACCATAGTAAAACAAAGACTTATATTTTTGATATTTATTTTATATATATAAATGCCATTTAACCAAGAAAAATCAACCAAAAAAATGAGTTCGCGTGTCACCTCTGACACGCGTGTCATAGGTTTGCCATCACTGGTCTACAGTCTATAGTATGTGGTTCTGGAAATGCAGTTCCCAGACCAGCAGCATCAGCAGTATCTGGGAACTTGTTAGAAATGCAAATTCTGGTGCCTCACTACAGACTGACTGGGTTTGGGCTCAGCAATCTCCCCTCCCTCCCCACCACCTCCCATGATTATACCTACTAGAGTTTGAGAACAGGTGGTTTAAAGTTAAGTGATGGAAGAGATCTAAAGTTCAGGGAACGTGGAGGGGAGTGATGGATTTCAGTGTGGCAGATTAGGGGGAAATGATATTTGCATTGTGCCTTCAGTGATGAGAATTTCAGTGAATGCAAATTTTAGGATAATGAGAAAATTGCAATCCAGGCTAAAAGAATCGCCTGAGCAAAGGCCAGAGATGTGATAGAAAATATTGGAAAATATAGCAGGTGAATTAGACCCTCCTCTAGATTGTCCCTAGTTCCTTGGTGGCTTCAGAACTCATTTGACCCATTGAATTAGGTCAGGGTAATTCAGGTTTAGGCTGGACCCATTCTTTTTCTAACATTATTCTCATACATATGCTTTCACCAACAGCCTGTCCTCTCATCAGAGCACATGGCAGCCTTTGGGGTCTTTGGCCTCTGCCAGATCCATGCCTTTGTGGATTATCTGCGCAGCAAGTTGAACCCACAGCAATTTGAAGTTCTTTTTCGAAGTGTCATCTCCCTGGTCGGCTTTGTCCTTCTCACCGTGGGAACTCTCCTCATGCTCACAGGTAGGAAAGGTTCATGTCTTTTAGTATTAAATGTAAACTCCAAAAATATGGGTTAAGAAAGATTCCTTCTTTTTCTCCTATTTCTCTTTTCATTATAAACATATGAAGTCCTACTTCTTCAACTTTTATTTCACTCGTCAGCCTACTGTTTGGATTCAGCATAGCAAAGGATGTCTTGTTAGAGCAGCTCTTAATCTCAGAAGAATCACACTTGATCAAAGGACCGTATCTTCCCTTGCTAATTATTCTCTTTTTTTTTTTCTTTTCCCTTTTTTGGTTCCTGTTGGTAGTCCTAACATTGCTTGCCAAACCCTACAGCACGGGCTCATCTGATCCTGTATGCACGACACCACAGGAGTTTAGTTACGCATTTTCCTCACTTCCACTTCTCAGAGGCTGATTTTATTTGCCAAGTTTCTGTGAATTGTCTAATTCAGAGCAGCACTAGAGGACATAGTTGACTTGTAGAGTTGGCCTTTGTTTGACCAGATTTGGCCTAAACCCTTCTAGGAAGCACTTCTGCCTCCCGTCTGAGTTTATGCACAGCCTGACTTTATTTTGCTTGCTTTACTGACGAAAGTACTCTCCAGTTTGAAAAAAGGGAAGGAGTGAAATTCTCCAAGTATTGATGGCATTTAAACAAAAACCTAGTCCTGTCTCAGAGAATCTTATTGAATGAGAAGTTGTGATTAGTTAGGATTAGGTGTTACTTTGTTTCAGGAGTGATTGTGAAATGTTTGTTCTCTTTGCTGCCAGGAAAAATATCTCCCTGGACGGGGCGTTTCTACTCACTGCTGGATCCTTCTTACGCGAAGAACAACATCCCCATCATTGCTTCTGTGTCTGAGCATCAGCCTACGACCTGGTCTTCATACTATTTTGACCTGCAGCTTCTTGTCTTCATGTTTCCAGGTCTGTCTGCCTTGTGTTCTAAAGTGCCCTTCTTTGTAAGAGTCACCATTTGTTTCAAAATAAGTAAAATACCCTCATCCTTGTGTTTGTTCTTTGCCTACTTACCCTGTGCAGTACAGAGGATGATGGCTAAGCATTTTTTTCTGAAGCAGAGCAGATGTTAGAATTGAATAGTTGCAGTCCCTGGAAAGTTCAGAACCTCAGTTTTCTGCTCATTTATGTGTGAAAATTTGTATTCAGGGTGTATGTGTGTGTGTGAATAATTCTAGTGTACCTCTCTCCCAATGCCCATCCCTGGGTCCTCCCCATTAATCAGCAATATTGAAATCCAGAATGGGCCTGGCTGATTGTAGAGCCTCTTCATGTAATGCAGTGGTTCTCAACCTGTGGGTCCCGACCCCTTTGGGGGTCAAACGACCCTTTCACAGGGGTCGCCTAAGACCATCGGAAAACACATACATAATTACATATTGTTTTTGTGATTCATCACTATGCTTTAATTATGTTCAATATGTAACAATGAAATTGGGGGTCACCACATGAGGAACTGTATTAAAGGGTCGTGGCATTAGGAAGGTTGAGAACCACTGATCTAATGTGTATCTTCCGGCCAATCCAGATATGTTTTAGAATTTACCCATTATACTGGGCTTTCTTTTAAAAAAATTTTATTTTGTAAAATAACTTTTACATTTTTTTCTTACTATGAAACTAAGTTATCTATTGTAAAAAATATATAAGTGAAAAAAGTTAAAAATTTCAGTTCTCACCACATATCTGTTGCTACTATTAACATTTTGATGTATATTTGTCCAATTATTTATTGAATAAAAATTAAATGCTAGTTTTCCTCGATTATTTTAATTTCATAAGGAATCATGATAATTTCTGTTTAGTATTGTTTTAGAGAAATAATATTTAAGATATATCATTTGTTAACTTTTTTAAAGCTACAGAGATGTGTAATGGAGAAGGCAAATGGTCCATAATCTCTGTAGCAGTATTTTAATTGTAGCATATTAATTTTATAAGTAAAATATGCTATAATTTTCCTTCTTAATGTTGGATATTTATGTGGTTTCTGATTTTTTGCTATTTTAAAGAGTGCTGTAGTGAACATCTTTCCATGTATGTATGATTGTTTTTTTAGCTGCTTACTTTTTACTTTTACTCTTGTAGTTGGTCTCTATTACTGCTTTAGCAACCTGTCCGATGCCCGGATTTTCATCATCATGTATGGTGTGACCAGCATGTACTTTTCAGCTGTCATGGTGAGGAATTCCCTCAGTCCTAGCACACCTTTTCATTTCTAACTCTGGGTGCTTTCTTGTTTCCTGCATAGCAGGATTCAGAAAGTTCTGATGATTGTGCACATGCTTCCCTCTGAGCATTCGAGGGCTGCCTTGTAAAGCTGCTCACAGGTTGATCCTTCACTGGGAGGTGTGAGCACTCATGCATTCTGATGGCGGGGCCCAGCTTTCTTGTATTCAGGACCTTGTGTTAGGGAGAGGCACTTCTGCACTTGTTGGAGAAAGTGACCCTGGGCAGGTTCCTTCCCTTCTCTTTCTGGATGTCTTAAAAAGGGAGATGATGGAGGCTTTTTGAGTTGTTAAAACAGGAGAGATTTTATATATTGTAACAAGACTGTTTCTCACACGTTTTTGATCCCAAACCATAGTTAAGAAATATAGTTACTATTACTCAGGACTCTCATACATATATACATATATGTATAACTGAAAAACGAAAGTTAAGAAATATATACTTATACTACTGTAGATTTATCAATTATTTTTTCTTCTATTTTGTTCTATTTCATTGAAAAGTCATATTTGCTAAAAACCCCTAAATTAATGTCATGATGTACGCATAGGTTGAAAACTGTAATTTGTAAAACACAGATCAGACTGTAATCTTGCTTCCTGTCTCTTAGGTGCGTCTGATGCTGGTGCTGGCGCCTGTTATGTGCATTCTTTCTGGCATCGGAGTCTCCCAGGTACTGTCCACTTACATGAAGAATCTAGACATCAGTCGTCCAGACAAGAAGAGCAAGAAGCAACAGGATTCTACCTACCCTATTAAGAATGAAGTGAGTATAAAGCAACACTAAGAACAGGCTTGGGAAACTGTGTGTGTCTATGTATGTTTGTTTGTGTATGTTTTTGTTTTTGAGTAAGGGAGTGAGAGGACTGTCATAGGTGGTCAGAATTAACTTATACAGCCCCTGACTTACTTTGATTCATTTTATTATTGACTGTGTGTAAGAAGCTGTTCTGTGTTGTGTAAATTTAATTTGGTTTTAAAACACATTTTTTCCTTGTTTAGGTGGCAAGTGGGATGATATTGGTCATGGCTTTCTTTCTCATTACCTACACCTTTCATTCAACCTGGGTGACCAGTGAGGCCTACTCTTCTCCCTCCATTGTGCTGTCTGCTCGTGGTGGGGATGGCAGTAGAATCATTTTTGATGATTTTCGAGAAGCGTACTATTGGCTTCGTCACAATACTCCAGAGGTAAAGATTTGGGAAAAGGGGGGTTGTGGGTAGGGTAAAGGGGGAGGCATTTGATGTTATGGTGAATCAAAGCTTTTAGGTGGGTGGAAAACTTGGAGAAATTGTAACTATAGGACTCTAGTGTTGAATGAGCTTTAAAGGTCACCTCCATTCAATTCAGGATTTCTATCCTTACTGGTATTGATGGTGATTTTATCATGAGGTGGACTATCACAATTATATAAGAAGAAAAAAGTTACAGATAAATAATACATGTTCATTGTAAAAAAGTCAGCAAATAGAAGAGAAAAGACAAATTTTCCATAATGTGATCACTTAATGATAATAATCACTTTTAACATTTTGGTTTATACCTCTGAGAATCTGAAGTGATTTCCTTTGCAGTAGCTATTAGAAATAGCACTTCTGAGTTAGATTCGTGAAGAGTCAAAACTTTAAGAATTTTGTAATCCTTTCCCATTATATCCTGTGATCTGTATTTCCCCTCATTTTTATAACTGATTTTTAAAATAATATTAAAGACCATTTATTTAATACAATTATCTGGTGAGGCCAATCTATTTGGAAATATTGATCAGTCCCCTATACCTCCTACTCCATTATACTTGTTTGTAAAAAAGTGATCTACAAGGAAAGTATTAGGAATGTTGGATTGTATAATTTGCACGGAGATTTCATGATTGTATATAAATGTAGGACCAGATGCAAAGATTTATTTTCTGTTGCATGCATTATTTTGTGAAGAAATTGATTAATTAGCCATGCCTCATTTCCTATCAGGTGCCCTTCCACTCCATCTCTTGTATGTGATTTTTGGAGGCAGTGAGAAGCTTGTTATTTTCATTTCCCATTACTTCTTTCAGGATGCTAAGGTCATGTCATGGTGGGATTATGGCTACCAGATCACAGCTATGGCGAATCGGACGATTTTAGTGGACAATAACACGTGGAATAATACCCATATTTCTCGAGTAGGGCAGGTAAGGTAAAGGGATCATTTGAGTGTTTGGCCCACAGGGTCTAGTGGGAAGTATTTCTCCATGAGGGATCAGATGACCTGGAATTTTGTTCTGAGAAATGTGCATGTCTTTTTCTAGGCAATGGCATCCACAGAAGAAAAAGCCTATGAGATCATGAGGGAGCTTGATGTTAGCTACGTGTTGGTCATATTTGGAGGCCTTACTGGGTATTCCTCTGATGGTAATGTACTAGATTCTACTTCTGGCTGTAGGGCCTAGATTCTAAGAAAACTAGATGACGCTCCTATTTTTCTGTCCTTCTGTTATCTTATTAACATAATTTCTTAGTTGGGGAAGTTCCTAAGTATTTGCAACTTGAGTTTTTGGGTTTTTTTGGCAACAAGTAGAAAGTAAATGTAAATATTTCTCATGTAGGTACAGCATGCTGTACTTGTTTAAGGTCTAGGAGCAGTTCCACAACCACAACATAAAGCTTCTGAAATGAACTTAAGATTTAATGTATTTTAGTAGGTTTAAGCCATAGAATAATCTCCCAGCTTAAAATGTTTTATATATATTGTGCCTCACGCAGCCTGGGCATGTGCCCTGATGGTAAATGGAACTAGCAACCTCTTGGTGCATGGGGTTAATGCTCAACCACTGAGCCACACCAGCCGGGGCCACATAAGTCATTTTACAATGTCTGTTAGCCAGATCAAAATAAGTAAAAAGAAATAGGGGAAATGAATTTTATTTATTTATTTTTACTTAACTTTTTAATTGAATTTATTGGGGTGACATTACTCCCCCCATTATTACAATTGCTTTTTTTTTATATTGTTAAAGACCATTTGTTTAATACAATTATCTGATAAGGCCAGTCTATTTATTTGGAAATATTGGTTAATAAAATTATATAGGTATCAGGTGTACAATTCTATAATACACCATCTGTATACTGCATTGTGAGTTTACCACCCCAAGTCAAGTCTCCTTCCATCACCATTTATCCCCCCTTATACCTTCTTCTACCTCCCCCACATCCCCTGGAAATGAATTTTAATAATTTTATTTAACTGAATATTATTACTTAATATGTAATCAAGATTTTTACACACTTTGTTTTGTTTTTGGACTATTTCATACTTACAGCACATCTTAATTTGGACTAGCCTCATTTCAAGTGTCAGTAGCTACGTGTGGCTAGTAGCTACTGTATTGGACAGCTCAGCCCCAGCTAATACCTGGACCTAATTTCAGTTGTGACTTAAGTCTGGACCAACTGTATAGGATTTTAGCAGTCTAGTAATCTATAGGACAAGCTGTATATTTTGAGGGAAAATGTTTTATCTACAAATTGTCTTTCCAGTTTTTATAAATGAGTTAAATGGTGCCATTCCCTATTAGAAAAATATTTGGGGAATTTCCTTAGAAATAGTGAGCTTTTCATTAGATGGTTTAGCTCCAGCAACCTTTGTAATGCAGCAGTTCTTTCTTTTTCTTTTTTTCCCTAGACATCAACAAGTTTCTGTGGATGGTCCGGATTGGAGGGAGCACAGACACAGGCAGACATATCAAGGAGCATGATTATTATACTCCAACTGGGGAATTCCGTGTGGACCGGGAGGGTTCTCCGGTGCTGCTCAACTGCCTTATGTACAAGATGTGTTACTACCGCTTTGGACAGGTGTACACAGAAGCCAGTGAGTGATTCTTAGCAACATTAATAGCAATAGTAACATTAATAGCTAACACAGGGTGCTTTTCATGTGCGAGGCTCTAAGTGCCCTACATCTGTTGATTCACTTAATCCCCTCAATAGCCCAAAAAGTAAATATTAATATTATTCCCATTTTATATATGAGGAAATTAAGGTACAAATAGGATACTTAACCGCCCAAAGTCACATAATAAGTGGCAGAGTCAGGTGAAACTCAGGTGATCTGGCTGTAGATTCTATGCTTTTACCCATTACTTTTTATTCTCTCTCAGTAAAAGGAATTGCAATGGAGAAAGGAATGAAGAGGGACAGATTAAAGGACTTTTCGTTTCTTTAGATAAATACATCGAGAGTAATTAAGGTTCAGTCTTTCCTTCTAACTTCAACTTCTTAGTTCTGCACTAGGGACAATTTCTGAAGCGGATACAGGCCCTTGACTTCTGATAGGTTTTTCTCTGATCCATGGAAGGGTTATTAGTGTATCACAGAGGCCCCTGTGTAGCACTCCTCAGGAACAGAGGGGCTTGGAAGTCAGCCTCCTCCCTCTTAGAAGACATAAGCAGCAGCATCAACTTGGAGAGGACTTGAGTTAGGGTAACACTGGATTTGCCCTTACTACTGACATCCTTTCTGCAGGTCCTACTTTCTAAACAAACAAACTACAGGCTGAGGAATAACATTCCAGTTAGTAGATGACTCATCAAATTGATTTACTATTTCCTTAGGAAATCTGCACTGTAGAAAGAAGTGTCCCATTTTTTTGTCCCTTTCTAGAGCGTCCACCAGGTTTTGACCGTGTGCGGAATGCTGAGATTGGGAATAAGGACTTTGAGCTCGATGTCCTGGAGGAAGCTTATACCACAGAGCACTGGCTAGTAAGGATATACAAGGTGAGCAGATGTTATACTGTCATATTTGCACATTGGTTCTAGTGCTAAAAGTGGACTACGTATTTCTAAAATAGGGACATTTCTAATGTCTGAAAAGTAGCTTGCAATTCACTCTGAATTTTACTGTTTTTATTTAGATTGTTCTTAGAAAACACCCTAGTCTGCTGTCATTGTGGCAATGTTGTCAGTGATATATTTCCATTTGGTGCTGGACTTGACCTTTTAATGATTATCAGGCTTTAGTGGGGCAGGGGGTGGGGTGGAGAAAGTGTGTGTTTGTGCTTTCGAGCTACTGAAGAATTTATGGCATAGAGTCACATAAGTGTGTTATATCTCTAACATAAGAAAAGATTGAGAACCTTGATGTGTTGGAAGGTAGATAATTTATAACTGCTCCTCACAGAGGTATTTCAAAGGCTAAGGCAGAGGTAACTAGTCTCTAACCAGTGCTCATTTAGTCACAAAGCCAAACTGGGCAGGAGAATCCAATGTAATCCCTCCCCGTCTGGGTGACCCAACTCAGTAGAGTAGCTGTCCTAAATTGACCTGATTGTAATGTTAAACTGACATCTTTATGTTGTAGGTAAAGGACCTGGATAATCGAGGCTTGTCAAGGACATAAACATTACGTCCAGCTCTGATATGCTTCGCACTGAGCGCGTCACGTTTAGGACGCTGAAGATGTTTTTAAAATATGCAGTTTATAAGACTGGAGCACGATGGGATTAGAATTGTCTGGAAGTTTTGCCCTGGGTAATATGGGCTGGGCCAAATGCAATGATTTTTTTTTTATAATTCTGAGAGGTTACCAAATGAAATGTCATGGCTTTACTTTGGTCAATTAAAGGGAGGGAATTTTTTTTTTTTAATGTGCCTTATTTGTTTTTATTTTTGACTGATTTGAGGAAGGCAGAAGTTTATGCTGGGCTGATAAAAGGACAGAAAGCAGGCCTCATCCCTGTTTTTAGCTTCCTAAATCAGCTATGTAGGGGCATACTGTCTTTATCAAGTCAGGAAAACTTCAAGGGCTGGGTCAGATCCTACATATACAAACAATTTTGTCATTTCAAAAATTACAGCACTGAGCACAATGCTGTGCACATAGTAGGTGCTCAATAAACTTTTATTGAATGAATAAATGTGGGACTAGAGGAGTGCCATTTCTGGGTAGGAAAGGCAGCGATGTTGCCATCATGTCTCTGTTCTCAACATTATCTCATCCTTGGAAGCTCCAACTTTATGAGGGAGAGAAGGTGGCTAGCCAGACCTGATCTCTATTCTTTGGGACTAGCTAGGTGGTTTTTTCTTTTCTTTTTTTTTTCGTTCTTTTTTTAGCAGGAATAAATCAAGTGAGAATAAATCAGCAGTTTTGAAGATTCAAGGCAAAGAGTTTATTATTATTCTGATTCTCAGTGGAGGAAGAGACTCCTCCAACATTATATATACAACTTGATGTTCAATAGGTATTTTTGAATCAGCTGAAATATAATCATGCTTATCTGTTTGAAATCCAGCTCTTTAGTACTCTCACTTATCCATGATATAGTAAATGTGTCTTTGCTCATTTCCTTTAGTTTAGGCACTAAAACTCTAGTGGTTATTTAAGGCGAGCTATTTTACCCCTTAGTCTCTGTCTATTTGTTATTATTACGTACCATACCACTAACAATCTCAACAATCTGGTTTTGAAGTCCTTGCCAAATAAGCTATACTAGTAAGTTAGAAGGAGGAATTGCTATCAGTAGTACCTAGAGAGCAGGCCTAGCCTGACTACAATAAAGGGGAAGAGAAACTTAAAAATTTTAACTCAAAGCACAGTAGTCCTATGGATACTATTTAATGTCGGGATAAATAGTCATGTTCAATACAGTAGGACACTATGTATCTTACAACACAGGACATATACAGTGAACTATATAAACCATAAGTCATTAAAAAAAATACATAAGGTAACTGTTTAGTGTTACCTGTTGAAGAAACAGGAGCAAGTACATGGCTTTTAGATAAGTCCAAATGGTGCTCCTGGAGGGTATGCTCAGGTATACTTACGTACCCAGGAAACTTAACCTTCCAAACCAGTTTATATACCAAGTGCTTTAACTGTGTGAGATTTAGTTTTGATGCAATATTTGATTTACTGTACGTAAATACATTACTTGATTTATATACAGAATTCCTCCCTACTGAAAGAGGTTATTCTGAGGCTTGTTTTATTTTTTAAAATTTCTTTTTACCAATATGAATAATACCATTTAGGGATCATTAATGGTCTTTCTCTATAGTAATATGGGATAACCCTTTAACTTATCACTGTAGTTGCTGCTTTGGTGATTCTAATGTTATTACTTCCTAGGCTGCATGAAGCTGTCTTTTTGAAAAATTAACTTTTTCATTGTTACACTTTTTTACACTTAGTGTAAAAAAACTCAATTCTAAAAAGCAACAAGTTTTCCACTCCCTGGGGGCAACCACTTTCAACTCTGCTGATTCTCACATTATTTACCTCCATCTCATTAAATAACTTGCTTTATTTTGCTATGTGTTGGTTTTTCTATCTTAGGTATCATCTGTTGACTTTCTGGTGTGGAAATTGAAGATTTAGCTCTTTTTCACCATCCTGCTATTCCCATGGACCACTTTAAGGTTCTGTTATAGTTATGATTTAGGTTAGCTCCGTAGTTTTTACCTTATGGCTTTTTACAACTAGGCCATGTGGTATACTGTTGTTACTTTGTTTTATCCCTGCTTAACTTTTTTGGAGGGAGTGTTTTCATTGTTTTTTTGTATTTGTCACCAATTTCTCCCCAAGCTCTCATTCATTTGTTTCAAGTTCCTTGTAATATGCTCAGACTCATTGGGTATGTCTTAGAGATGTCTTGTTTTGTTATGTACCAGTTTGATTTATTCTTTAGGTTTGTTACACACCTCTTGAGTTGGTGTATCCTTTCACTGTCATGTATGTTAATCTGAATTCTTTCTTGTTTTGTCACCTCTAACTGCCTCCCTGAGAAAGTGTGTGGGAGATAAATTTCTTGAGATCTTGCATGTCTCACATCACAATTAACAGGTTGGCTAGGTATAGAGTTCCAGGATGTGAAAACTTTTCCTTAGAATTATTTTGAAGTCATTGGCCCGTTGTGTTTTCTCTTCTAAATGTTGAGAAATGCAATGCTGTTCTGATTCTAACTTTTTTGCATGAGTCCATTCCCTCTCACTTCCACCCCCAGACCTCTTAGGGTCTTCTCTGTATGTAATGTTTCGAATTTTCCCGATGATGTGTCTTATAGTGGATCATCCATTGTGCTGGGTACTTTAAACTTTTAAGTCTGGAAAGTCAAGTTCTTTAGTTCTGAGAAATATCCTTGAGTTATTTGTGGATTTCCCCTAATTCTCTTTCTCTTTCTGAAAAAATAAGCTATTTGGATGCTGGACTTCCTGGACTAATCACCCAATATTCTTATTCTGTTTTCCATCTATATGCTTTGTTCTGGAAGATTCCTTAAAAAATATTTTTTGCAATCTGTCTATGTAGTTCCCCTATTTTCTGCTATCACATTTTTTAATGTCCAAGAAGTGTTTTTCTGTTTTGTTGAATATTCCTTTGTTTTGACATCTTTCATATTAAAGGCCTTTTCAAATTCTTAGTTGTCTGCTCTTTTTAAGAGTGGGACCCTAGCCCTGTGGTGTGGCTCAGTGGTTGAACATGAACCTATGAACCAGGAGGTCACGGTTTGATTCCCAGTCAGGGCACATGCCTGGGTTGTGGGCTCGATCCCCCGTTTGGGATGTGCGGAGGCAGCCAGTCAGTGATTCTCTCATCATCGATGTTTCTCTCCCTCTCCCTTACTCTCTGAAATCAATAAAAACATATTTTAAAAAGAAAAAAAAAGTGGGACCCTAAAACAGATTGGAAGGTCTGTTTGGGGAAAGGAGTCCGGCTTATTGAATGTGGGCCTCACTCCTGTGATCTGGCTGGAAATCCCTGGTATTGGCATCTTTAGATCGTTTTATATAGGTAACCTTCCCTTGAGAAGGCTTGTAAACCCTCCAAGGATACAAGGCAGGCTGCCATATTTCTAAGTGGGGAAAGAAGGCTTTTGAGCAAGCATGTCAGACGTGCAGCCGGTAAACTTCTTTGCATAAACTGACACTCAATGCCTTTGTTTTCAGTAAGATACCCAAGCCTTTAACTGCCTGATGCTCTCCAGCTCAGATACCATGTCCTGTACCAGCTTTGGGACAAAGTGAGAGGACCCAAGGGTCTATTTGCTTCTTACCTCGTCTTTCAACCTACCCTCTATAGCCCCACCTTCACCTACATTTCAGTTACCTGGTGTCACTAACTCAACTTGAGCCCTTTGGAAGTTCTGTGATGTAAATCAAGTTGCTTTTCTGCTTTCCATTGTTGGCTCTAGGATTCATCTTTATCTAAAGACTTTCCACCTCCAAAATCTCGTTTTTCATACTCTTGTGCCTTTTAAAGATTTACTATTTTAGTAACGGAACTATTTCTAAATTTCTTCTGAAATTTACTATTTCAGAAGGGAACAGAGGCTATTGTGTGCAGTCATTCTCCCACAGGGCTGTCTTTAACTGTATTCTACCTGAAACGGGGATGCCCCCCCTCCCTTTTTTTTTTCAGGCTAATTCCATTCACACACACAGAAACTGTCCTCCTCTTCCTTCCTTCATAGTCTTTGCAGCACACAGTGCACAAATTAGAGAAGATGTAGTAAAAGATGTGAAAGCTTTATTACAGGAAGCCTAACCGGTGAAGTCATGGTTAAAAACGTCTCCAATAGGCATTTTGAAACGCTCTGGTGTTGTTTTAAAGCAGATGTGTGCATTTTTAAAAGTGAAATTTATTGGACCGGCTGGTGTGGCTCAGTGGCTGAGGGTCGACCTGTGCACCGGGAGGTCCACCAGTTCAAGGCCCAGTCCGGAGGGCATATGCCAGGGGAGCTGGCTTGGTCCCCTGGTCCCCAGCAGGGAGTGTGCAGGAGGCAGCTGACCCATGTTTCTCATGGATGTTTCTATCTTTCTCTACAATCGATAAGAACCTATTTTTTAAAATATTAAAATACGGGTTTAAAAATGTATTGGGGTGACATTGGTTAACTGTGCATTTTTGTGTAACATTTTATACTTATTTTACTCCATTACCAGTAACACAATCGAGCTACTATCAATGTATGTGGCCGTTTTAAGAACTGGAGAAATTAATGGAGATGACATTGCCTGTGCCTTGAGTTCCCGGTCACGTATTGCCAAGGGGGAATACCTACTTGAGTGTTCCGTATGATTTTATCCTAAAGCAGGCCCATTTCCCCCGAATTTACTTCCCTCCTTAAACTGGTTACTTACAATGTGCTTTGTACCATGAGGCAGAACAGCGTGTTTGCGCTACCTACCTGCCTGCGTCTCCCACGCTCCCAATGAGAAGGCGGGTGGGACTAAGCGACCCAGAGGCTCTTCCTGCAAACGGCGGGGCCCAGGTGCTGCCGTGGAGCCCATTCAGGCCGCACAGGGTCATCCTCTCCCTCCAACCGCAGGAGGTCTCGTCCGAGGCCGCCTCTGCCAGGGACCGAGGGGCGGGCCTGAGGCCCCCGCAGCTTCCTTCGTCCTTCCCGGCCCCGTTCTCGGGGGTCTGCGCCTCACTTCCAAGTGACCGGACCGGACAGGTCGCGGGGCAGATACCCGGAGGCGCAGAGCCGGCGTCGTGGCGCCCACGGGTGGAAACCCAGCCTCGCGCCCGTCCGTCTCCCGGGTCTCCGGCGCCGCCCGGGACTCACGCGTTTGGGCGCAGAGAGCTTCCGCCGAGGTGCGTTCGGCACCAGCACCTCCGAACCTCACAATAGCCGGGGCGCAGCTGACACCTGTGGGGCTGCCGCGCCGGCCTCCCGGAGCCGCCCAGCTGCCAAACTTCGCCAACCGGAAAGCGCGCCTCCGTGCTTTACGGCAAGGGCGCGCGCGTTTGCGACAGTGTGACGCGCTCCAGTTTTGGCGGGAAAAGCGCTGCATTTGGATTTCTGCGGTGGCGGGCAGAGGACGGCCTGGTGAGAAGGGCGGCGGGTGGGGTAGGCAGGGAGTCTGCAGAGGAGTTTCGGGGTCCGCACGAGCTAGGAGAGCACGGCGAGGGGTTCGGAGAGACTCCCGCGGAGGGGCGGCCCCGGAGGGCGGAGGAGGGTGGCACGGGGCGCCGGAGGCAGAGGGACTGCAGAGACCTCCCGGCTGCTAGTCTGCGTGCCTCCCGGCCCTGCCTTCCGCCCCTCGGGGCAGTTTGGCCCCGCCCCGGGCTCCACCCGGCCCCGGGGGACACTGTGGGGTGGGGAGGAGGGGCCGCGGTGATCGTGATTATCTTTCCCCCTCCCCTAGTCCCCT